TTGATTTTAATTAAATGTTAAAACTATTAAAAAATATCAATTGCTTAAAAAAAATAGTTATTTTGAACTCAGTTGATTAATTTTATGCGTTGCATACGTACCTATGTCACTTACAAGTGTGGTCAATTGACAACATAAATAAGAAAATAAACTTTAATAACTAAGTTTTTTTAATATTAGAGATGTGAAATTAATTAAATTCAAATTAAAAATTAAAATTTTGTAATCAAGTTTTGCGCAAAAATTCATCAGCAAAATTAATAAAACTTCCAATAAAAACTTTCTATCAGAATGTTTTCATGTTGACTGAACGCGAGTACATACTAATCAAGCACACAGATCCAAGTACTAGATTCTAGATTATTTTTTTCTTGGTAAAACGAAGGATTAATGCTGTGGTGGCGTAGTCAACACATTATGTGGACGTGCAGAGAGTGTCATACTGTTATATTAAAAGTAGTCGAGGAGGACCCAAAAGTATGGCTGTTTAATCAGACGGTAAAAAATGTTTAAGACTAAGCTGTCATTGCTATTAATTTACTCTCACGCGCAGTATTTGCAGACGGAGTAAGTGACAATGACAAGACGAATTTGTTAACAGATTTAGTTGTGCTGCCAGCATTAGTCACGCCTCTAAACCCGACTGTGCGACTTTAGCAGCAGCTGCAGCTATTGCACGAATAGCAATTACCGTCGGTGAAAAAAAAAAATGGACTGACATTCTTTTCCTCTGACTTACTTACTGCTCTTGTTATCGTTGCAACTGTTGGGAGGAGGACTTGTTGTGAGCATAGTTTTGTTAGACATCCAGTTGCGCTCAATCATCATGGATGGGGAGGGAGAGGGATGTAAGGACTTTGCACTCTTAGATGCAGGATATGCGGATTGTACTAATATGAATTATCAAAAAGAAAGTGAGTATTCTTCTTGTTTGCAAAATAAGTTTTGGAGAGTTTCACTGACTTAATTATCTTAAAATACCTTGTTCTCAGTGAACCATTTCTATATAAATTTCTTCTTCCCTTTAGTAGTTCTTTGAATATAATCGAGGATGTTCATGATTGATTCTGGAATACTACAATGAATTGATTAGCGATAAATTTAATTCTTTTATTTCCCTGAGAAGTCCTAGTTTCTGCTATTACCTGAGCTCTGTCCGCTGTTAATCTTATTTTTCTTTTTACATTCTCGATTTCCTCTCGCCTAACTGATAGATAGTATCACTAATGAGACTTTATCGGATGGACGCATCATCTGAAATTTGATATTTGTTGCTTTTTGACATACATTCATAGTATTCTTGTTATTGTAGGAAGGGATTTCAACATAACCTGAAACGACGTTTGTTGTTTGAAAGGTTGGGACAAATTTTAAAAATTGGGTTGACACGATGGAGTTAATTAATATTCGCATAAATGGAAACTGGTGAATAGTTTGAATATCTCTGAATGATGAAATCTTTAATCTGTACAATGTTCAATAATACTTTCTGCTTTGTTTCATAACGTACTGACACTGAATTATTTGCATATTGTTAAAATTTTGTAAAATTCTTGTGACGTCAGTTGATTAACAGTTGAAATTAATACAAAATTTAATTAATACATCAATGTCAGTTGCTTATATGCTATTATGCGGCATTTATCTATCTAGAGCCCCATTCATTTATGCATCTGTCTGTTTGTTTATCATTTGTGAAGTCCCGAAAATAACTTCTCGTAAAAGATTTAAAATTAATCTAAGTATAAAGAAGGAAACGATAATGTGAGATAATGATGCGGCGGCACATCTCTCTCTACCTGCCATTACCTCCATTTTTCTCTACAAAGATGGGTGGTCTTTGTCTTCCAATATTATACATCTTATTGACATATAACAGACGGTCTCCTTGACGTCATATATGACTAAATGTGCAGAAGAGAAAGAGAAGAGGACTAGAAGACGAAGTGTCTACCAACAGTTCAACTGTGCAAGGGCTGTTCCGTCACAGATATGCTTGTCCTTTCCATTTTGTAATTCATTGCTTTTGGTTTCCCTTTCAGTTCAAACATTTTACGTCCACCCACTCACTCACTCACTATTCAGTCATATATTATTGATGTGTCAGGCAAACTTTCACCCCTCCTTTCCCTCTCTCTCTCTTCGTTATCGTTCTCTCTGTGCTTTTCTTTGTCTCTCAGTTATTTGTACATTCCTTCGGTACCGTTTGTCTTACTTATTGATGGCTAACGTACGTGGAATGAGAATATTCCCGTCCCGTCCCGTCCACATTCTCGTCTTGTCTTCCTTACTTTCATCATTGTAACACAAAGGGTTATTCTCTAACATTCTGTTAGGCGAGAATTCAAATTATTTTATGAAACAAATTGCAAGCACTGTTTGATTAATCACTGAGGTATTTTCATGCAGGTAAGTTAAATTCTGGCCAATGCAGGTAGAGGTGCTTGGCCAGATGGAATAAAATTGCAGCGTCATTATGTCCTCAAGATATGATGGGTAGGGAATAAAAGTCAAATGTTGACATTGCAATGACTCGATGGAAGCAATGGTGGGGCTGAAGTATAGGCCTGGATTAGTTAGATCGTGATAACAGCTCTTTTTTTCCGTAGAAGAAAAAATTGCTCTTAGGAATAACAATCTTTATTCGACAAATTTCCATCTTATAGATTTAATACAAATTGTTTCGAATGTTATAAAATCACTTCGACTAGTTAGTAAGATTGTCATAAATTTTATAAATGAGGCATTGGTTGCAGAAAGGATATTTATCATTTGTTTTACATTTCCACCAAATGTTACTTACTTTAGCTTCCTAATCATTTTCAGGTTTTATTGCAGTGCAAAAACTGTAGAAGGATTTTTTGCATATAAATTCCTGGAAACCAAAGTAATCTCTTCAGTATGACTCTCTTTGTGATTATTTTCGTCGGTCCCACTTCATACTATTATTCTTAATACTTTTGCTGTTTAGTGTCTAGGACTTCTTTGATTGCAATGGACAATATCTCGACCACTATACGTGTGTGTTTTTTTTTTTTATTAGAAATTAGTTACATGGATGAAACTGGATTTGAATTTTATTCTGCTGTCCAATGATAGGATATTAAAAGAGGAGAAAAAAAAAATTAACTCACTCAAAAAACTTTTTCTTCAGATCATTAATCGGTCGTTGCATTTTTGATGTAGCGAAAACTCTTGCCGTTTGCGAAGAATGTCGAAATTATATATCGCTTTTTGGAAATTTTTTTAAATGTTTTACGCCAAAAAAATGATTACCAATTCGTCGCAGTTTGGCTTTGTGCACGGAATGATATGGTTTCCTTCATATCTTTCATAAAATTTGGCCAAGAGTGCAATTGAATGAATATTTCTTTCTCTATTGCCACTGTGATTCATTGGTCATCGATAGCTGCTACTGCATCTGAGTGATAGTGATGAGGGAAATGCTGTAACATCTAATATATATAAGTGTCACCCTAAGCCTAACCCTAAGTTTAAATGTATTGTTCTAATCATTTTCTATTGAGTTTCATTTCATTAAATGGATATCTGATATTTATTTTGCATGTTAAGGCTTAGACTAAATTACTGATATTGGCATCTTTACTTGTCATGAATGGGCGACAGTTTTTTGCATATTGAACTTAAGTCAGTAAATTAATGATCAACAATTATAAAAAGTAGGCTAAAAATTTATCTTGACTTTTTTTTTAATAATATGACTTCTTTATTTAAAATCACTTCGTAATGCCAATTTTTGTTATAAATTATTAGGTGAATACTTTCCTCTCATTTATAATGCTTTTGTCATATTAGCTTTTTGCATGACATATCGTTTATTTCAGTTTTGAGCATGTTTTACTAGATTTTAATGCTTGCTTTCGAATTTTACGTTTTGCAATCAGTTGGTACGTTTACGCCATTTATATGAAATTATAGGATAAAAAAGATAAGACAGTAAAAATTCAATGATAAAATGAAATTATTAATCGCCCGATTGCTACACGCCTTTTCTTATGTCTGTGAAGAATGCCCAAATTGTGTTTCGCTTTCTAGAATAAAAAATTTTTGTTGTTATATAGTGCCAAAAGAAATGATTAGCATCAGTTTGGTTTTCCGGATAAAATGATATGCTTTTCTGCATATCTTCCACGAATTAGAAAACAAAGCAGTTCGCCAAAGAGTGAAGAGGTATCCGTTTCCCTGCTGATATTTTCAATATTTGTTGGAACTACCAGCATCTTTTTAAGCAGATGCTTCTCAGGTTATGGGCAACTATTACGTATTGAGTGCGAGATGTGAAAAATATACAGCATCTAATGAGTGTGTCCAATGAATTTTGTATCTAACTCAAACGGTCACAAATGCTTCACAATACACTTCACGTACATTCTATTTCAGGCTGACATAAGTTTTGCTAACTTCAAGGAGTTTCGGAATACAATTTCTTGTGAGATTTCAATGCATTCATACGGTAAAAGAATTTGCCAAGCACTCGCACTGAGGATTAGATTCATGCGTTTGCTTGTGACTGCGAAATGATGATTTATAGTCGAATGTTCGTCCACAACCGGCTACTTTGCATTCATAGATGAAGGGCTGACCGTGTGTTTTCCTATGTGTTACATATTCGTTGTAACTTTTTGCGATCACAGCACACCCGGGGTAAAGGCATTCGTAGCTTTTTCGTTCGCCTAAAAAATTACTGTGTTATTTGTTTTTGCAATTTGTATTTTATTATAGTGTTTGGCAACTAATTAAGTAATCTGATACAACTAATTAAGTGAACTACTAAAAAATTACTTCCGTGAAATAATCCTAGCACATTCCATTTCAAATAATTTAGAATCACAAGAAGTTGCTTAGCTGCAACAAAAAGTGTAATTGAGAATTTCTCCTTGTATTGTCACTGACTGGAACAAATAACACATTTCACATGCATTCTTTTTTCAGTCTGACATATTTGTTTTATCTGTTTAAAATTCTGCTAAATTTGCAAACTAACAAGACTTTGTTTGGCAACGCCTTTTGTGATTTTGTAGTCCACTCTTGCAGGTGAAGAATTTGTTACAGTACTCGCACTGAGGATGAGGTTTATGCGTTTGCTTGTGATTGCAAAATGATGCTTTGTGGTCAAATGTCCGCCCACAACCGGGCACTCTACATTCATAGGTGAAGGGTTGATGCGTTTTCCTATGTGTTACATATTCGTTGTAATTTTTCGTGACCATAGTGCATCCGGGATAGAGACATTCATAATTTTCCTCACCTAAAAAATGGAATTTGTTTTTGCAACTAACATTCTATTGTATGATTCGGTAGTTAATTAAGTAGTGTAAGGAATAATCATGAAAATATCAATAATACCATAAATATATAAAAAACTTTATCATATCACACTTCAAACTACTTAGATCATAATCTGTTTACTTATCTTCTCATATTTTTGAAGCAGAAATTATATTTTTCATGTTACTACTAATTGGAAGGATCTCGCACAACAGATAATTGTTAATTTCCTGTTGTCGCGAAACCAGTTTCGGTTTTCGATTCTTCATTGTTTATATTCTCAACTTCATGTAATCGAATAATAAAAGCCTTTTAAATATTAAAAAAAAAATTGTGGTGACTGCATGATGTGAAAGATAAATAGCGCAGTACGTATTGAATTTTGTATTATCAGTATTGATTGAATTTGTATTAACAGTCACGAATTTTCGTAAATCATCAAAATATCACTACCATGAAATTATCTCATTCCAAATAGTTTATGTCACAAGAAGCTGTTTAATTATTTAATTATTAATTATCCTCGCGTATAGTTGTGCTAAATTTGCAAACTAACGAGAATTTGTTTGGCAGCACTTCTTATGCCTACGGAGAATATTCACGCTAGCGAAGAACACACTTCACGTACATTCTAACAAAGCAGTTCGCCAAAGAGTGAAGAGGTATCCGTTTCCCTGCTGATATTTTCAATATTTGTTGGAACTACCAGCATCTTTTTAAGCAGATGCTTCTCAGGTTATGGGCAACTATTACGTATTGAGTGCGAGATGTGAAAAATATACAGCATCTAATGAGTGTGTCCAATGAATTTTGTATCTAACTCAAACGGTCACAAATGCTTCACAATACACTTCACGTACATTCTATTTCAGGCTGACATAAGTTTTGCTAACTTCAAGGAGTTTCGGAATACAATTTCTTGTGAGATTTCAATGCATTCATACGGTAAAAGAATTTGCCAAGCACTCGCACTGAGGATTAGATTCATGCGTTTGCTTGTGACTACGAAATGATGATTTATAGTCGAATGTTCGTCCACAACCGGCTACTTTGCATTCATAGATGAAGGGCTGACCGTGTGTTTTCCTATGTGTTACATATTCTTTGTAACTTTTTGCGATCACAGCACATCCGGGATAAAGGCATTCGTAGCTTCGTTCGTCTGAAAAACTCTTATAATACTTTTTTTTTGCAATTGATATTTTATTATCGTGTTTGGCAGCTAATTAAGTAATCTGGTAAACCATAATAGTATCACTGAAATACTCTTACCACATTCCATTTCAAATAATTCCGATCACAAAAAGCTGTTTAATTATTTTTGCGTATAGTTGCAACAAAAAGTTTAATTGCGAATTTTCCGTTGTCACTCAGCGCCCACAAATATTTCATAGCACACATTTCACACGCATTCCGCATTCCATTTCAGGTTGATATATGTTTTTGATTCTGTTAAATTTACAAACTAACGAGATTTTGTTTGGCAGAGCCTCTTGTGTTTTCGTAGTGCATTCCTGTTGACGAGAAATGTGCCACAATCCTCGCACTGAGGACGGGGTTCATGCGTCTGTATGTGATTATAAAATGATGATTCATAGTCAAATATTCGCCCACAACCGGGCACTTTGCATTCATAGATGAAGGGTTGACCGTGTGTTTTTCTATGTGTTATATATTCTTTGTAATTTTCCGTGATCATAGTACACCCACGATAATGACAAGTATAATTTCTCTTATCTGAAAAATTCTTGTCAAAGCATTTATTTTTGCAATTAGTAATCTATTACACCGTTTGGTAGTTGAAATAATGTGAGAAATCACAAAAATATCATTGCCATAAAAAAAATATCACATTGCATTTTGAATAACTTAGGTAAAAGTTTATTTATCTTCTCACATATATAAAGCAATAACCATACTTTTAGTCGCTTTATCAATTTCATGCTGCTGATGGAAGTAAAAACTATAAAAGATAGAACGAAAAATCGTTATACAATTTGTCATTACTTGTTTCTGATCCTTCATTGGTATTTCCCCTGTACTTGGGGACATTCAAGTTATCCGAGAAGTGCTTATTGTCCATGTTGCTCTGTTCAGCATTTCCGTGTTGACCGGATGTGCCGTCTGAGGAAAGAGTAAGTTGGTGAAAATAGATCGGAACCGCATTTTGTTGTGAACCAGGTAAGTACATACATGTAATAATGTCATCGGTGTTGACATTAAGTGGCGAAGAAGTCCCATTTTGAGCATCTAAATAACTTAGATCACAAAAGCTGTTTACTTTTCTTTTCACATATTTGAAGCAAAGCAAAAGTCTCACCTCTATATCGCAGTATATCATCATTCGTTTCTAATTCTCCATTAGCATCTCTCCACACATTCCTATTTGAATCCGTATATGAACCACGTGATGAGTCCAAATTAGTATGGCTCAACAAATCATAGCTATCTAAAAAGCCAGGATGAGGAGCATTTATGATCTGGAGTTTCGATTCTTCACTGCTTATATCCTCAATTTCATTCAACTGATCGAAATCAATCAACTGCGAAGGATCGGATGGAAATTCTGAGCCAAACAATGGCTCAAAATTGTTGTAATCGAGGATATCAAAGCTATCTGAGGTGCCAGAATGAGCAGTATATGTGACAATTTCATCACTTGTATCGAGGTTAATTATAGGGAAAGTTTTATTTTTCTCAGAGATGATGCAAAGCAGAAGATTGAGCCAAATAATAGGTGTCATATGCATAGTGAAGAACATGGTGAAACACGAAATTTCGTAAAATGACAGAAATACTCAAATGGAAGCTCTTTATTTCAGATTGGTTAAAATTAAAGACCAAAGGTTCAGACAGTTTTTAATCTGTCCATTATTTGTCATATTTTTACATTCTCGCTTTCCTCTCTCCCAACTAGTAGTTTATGAATGCTCTTTTGAAGCCGAAAGAAGCGGTTACAATAGCTTGTACGTAAATCCGGTGCTTTGAATACTGATAGATACTGGTCTTTTATTTCAATAATATGTATAAAACCAAGTGGCATTGTCAGAAATGAAATTGCGAGCATTTTCGTTTTTCAAGCATTTAATTTTGTGCATTTAATAAATTCGCGTTGTATGCCTACGATAGTATCACTGATAGGACTTTCTCGGATGGACGCATCACCTGAAATTTGATAGTTGTTGCTTTTTGACATAGTATGCAGGAAGAAATTTCAACATAAGCTGAAACGATGTTTGATGCTTGAAAGGATGGGACAAATTTTAAAAATTAACATTTGCATAAATGCATAGATGCAATTAATTGATTACGTATATTCAGCGTAGAAAGCAGGCTTGCATGAAGCGGTAATACTACCACACTTTTTTCACTATTGTTACATTTTACAAATATTTGATTTAGTCTTTTAAACTTTATTTCAAGCAAGAAATTAGGAAGTTATGACTGGAAGGGTAGACAGGCTTTGTTAAGTGGGAAAGAGAAGAAATGGGAGGAACGCGATGAATGAACTATTCCCTACTCCCATACTTATGGACCTCTATTGTAGGAAGAAGGATCCCAAGACTGCTACTATTCCAATTGCCATTGTCTTCGTGTGAAAATCTAACAAGGTCTGCTGCCATCTCACTTCAGTCTGTCGTCGTGTCCCCACAAGAGGCAAGTAGACGGGAGATGCTGAGAAAGCGTATGTTTTGTGATTATTGCAATTAAGATTAGATCACAGAACTGAATCTGTCTGTTTACAGAAAAATACCTATTACATTAATTGGTAAATGAGTCCCAATGGAGCAATAGATTAGTAGCTGCTTTTAATTATGTTCCAGGGAAATCCAAGGATTCTAGTGAATTATTTCTCTTAATCTCGGAATTTTTGAAATTTCATTAAAGAATTTCCGTAAAGAACTCCAATTAGCACATATTTGAAGTTAATTACAAATTTCACTAAACATATTAATTTACCAAATTCTGCACTATAATTTCGCTGTCATACTGAACACTAGGATGGTAAGGCGATAAACACATGATCCATTCACAGCGCAAACATTAACATCGAAATTCGTATTTATTAAGAAAAGCACTGATTTCAAGTCAACCACTCTCACTGTTTTATGAGTAATATTTCGTCATTCTCATCCACCTCTACCTGTATTTACAGGTTACATACGTATTGAATGCAAGATATGAAAATATATATATATATATATATACAGCTTAACGAGTGTATCTAATGGATTTTCTATAGTCACTCAGCGGTCACAAATGCTTCATAACACACACATCTCAGGCTGACATATGTATTTAAAATTCTGCAAAATTTCCTAACTAACGAAATTGTGTTTGACAGCATTTCTCGTGTTTTTGTAGTCTACTCCTGTTGGCGAAGAACTTGCAACAGTGCTCGAACTGAAGCTGAGGTTCTCGCGCTTGCTCCTCATTGCAAAATGATGTTCACCCGCCCACAACCGGACATTCTGCATTCATAAACGAAAGGTTGATTTGTTTACATATTCGTTGTAATTCTTCGTATTCATAGGACATCTGAGACAAAGACATTCATAATTTTTCTCATCTGAAAAATTCCTGCATGACATTTGTTTTTGCAATAAGCATTCTATTACATTATTTGGTAGTTAATTAAGTAATTTAAAAATGATCACAAAATATTGGTGCCACAAATAATCAAATCACATTGCATTTTAAATAACTTAGATAACAAGTAGCTGTTTACTTATCTGAAGCAAAAGTCACACTTCTAAATGTTGCCTTTGGAAGGATCTAACACAATAGATATTGTGAACTTTCAGCTATGAATGAGATCAGTTTCGGTTTTCGATTCTTTATTTCATGTAGCTGAAAGAAAATAAACAATAAAGGACAGAATGAAAAATCATTATGTGATTCATTATCACCTGTTTCTGATTCTTTATCAGTATTTCCCTTGTCGTCAAGGATGATCAAGCTATCCGAAAAGTGCTTGTCAATTTTGCTCTTTTACCAGAGACACCTTGGCCTGGAAGTGTCGTCTGAGAGCAGTTGATGAAAACAGATCGGAACGGCATTTGGTTGTGAACCAGATAAGTGAACCAGGTAAGTGCCTATACGCGACAATGTTATTATTGTCGAGATTAGTTAACGAGAATTTCATTTTTAGCAAAAACGATGTAAAGCAGAAGATTGAACCAAGTGATGGACTTTACAGATAAAGTGAAGAAGATGGTGAAACACAATTTTGTGAAATGACAGAAGTACTTATATGAATGTTTTTTTTTTTTTTTTTTTTTTCAGATTCGTTGGAATTAAAGACCAAATGTCAAACAGATTTTGATCTATTCAATTCACATTACTTTTCACATTTTTTGCCTTACATTATCAATTTTTTCTCTCCTAGTTGATTGCTTACGAATGCCTTTTTGAACCTTTAAGAAAGCATAACAATGTTTTTTATTGTTATTTTATCCATAATTATTATTCTCATGTTTTTTTTTTTGTTTTTTATTATATTTTTGGTAAGATTAAATTTATACTTTGCCGTAATTCTTTTAAATTTAATTTAAAGCGTAGAAATGGTCGTATAATTGAGTTAACTTTGCAGGTTTTAGTTGTTAATTTTTTCAGTGAGCGCATTCTGTAAATCTAAATGCTAACTTCCGAATTTTAGGTTTTACCATCAATTGGTACGTTTATGCTGAAATTATGAGATAACAAAGAAAATAAAGATAAAACAGTAAAAATGCAATGATAAAATGAGATTATAAATTGGTCGCTGCATTCTGATGTCCTATTGCTACACGCCTTTTCTTATGTCTGTGAAGAATGCCCAAATTGTGTTTCGCTTTCTAGAATAAAAATTTTTAGTTGTTTTACAGCACCAAAAGATGTGATTAGCATCAGTTTGGCTTTCTGGATGGAATGATGGCTTTTCTGCATACCCTTTATGAATTACAAAACAATATAATTTGACTAAGAGTGAACGGGTGTATCGTTTGATATTTTCAATGTCGGTGATTAGTGTTATTAGTGTTATTGGCTGAATGAAATAAACTTTAATTGATTTGAAGAGGTTCTCGAAGCTCGAAATAAGTTTTGCGAACCTCTAAATAACAAAATATATCAAATAAAATTGTATTACATCCATAAAACTAAAAATCGTCTTGTTCCACTTAGAAATTTTGTACTCATCTTTCACGAGGATTGTTTACACGGTATCAGTGTTGTTGCTTCGTTACTAATTATAAATTATGTTTGAATCGCTTAGCTAACTTAGCTTGAAGCATGTCAATTAGTAATTGGATGTGGTTGTAACGAGTTTAGTAGTTCTTTTGCTAGGCTGATCTTCCTTTCCATCGAATAACGAGTTTAGTAGTTCTTTTGCTAGGCTGATCTTCCTTTCCTTTCCATCGACTTTTATCGTGAACCAGTAGAGATCAACCAAGTGGCAGTTCGACCACAAAAAGGGATTTCCACTATTTATACCTCAATTTTTCCTCTATAAAATTTGTTATACTGTTGCTTCTCTTGATAAAAGAATTATTTTATTCCCATGCTACCTCACTTATTAACATCGATGTCCAACGAATCTCCTCGAGTTTAGTAAACTTCTTCCAAAATAATTTAAACTTCAACTATAACTTCTATACCTTCTTGAAAATGTCAACAAGTAGAAAAGCATGGGATAACTAATAAAAATGAGATCGAAAATAACAAATATCTTTGACTTTTAAACTTAATTTTGATATAGTGATACAATATCAGCATTCCATGTGACAGCAGTTCAATCTTAATATCAACTCACATTCTCATTAAAATAAATAAATGGTTTGCGGGAAAAACTGTCATTGACTTATTTCACAGACAGTACATACAATCACTGCTATTAAAATTCTTTGACGATTTATGCAATTTGTTTTTATTGGAGATATTGTGAACAGAAAATGCAGAAGTGATTGTGATTGCATTCTAATGACAAATCTTTGTGAAATGAGAATGTTTTGAAAGTAGAAAAATAATTATCACATCATTTATCACAGTTATGATTAGTCTGAGTCAGTACAAATTCTTAGTACAAATTCGTAGTTATCACACAATTATTTGACATTAATGTTTGCATAAACGAGTTTGAGTCATTCATATCAGACTTTGTGACTTTCTGATTTTCCAGTAACTTTGAGTAGAATTAGTTTTTTTCTCGAAACATCCAAGAAATTAAAAATCATGTTGATGTATGAATGATATAACATGATATAACATTCATTACTCGTGTGAAGATTGAGGATTTCGGCACGATGAAAATTCGGTAAGGGATTTTATGGAAAGATTTTTTCCCTTTCACTCTGGAGTAGGCTGTTTAGTGCAGTTCTAAAGGGAATGAGAAATTAATTAAATGACTTACTTGAACGTCATTTAATTATTTTTGGCATGAAATTATTTTATTATTATAGTTTATAATAAAATAATTTTACATTCGAAATTTTCTGCAACTCATTGATCAATGCATTCTACAATTGATTTCATCATAAAATTATTCATGTGTGAATAGGACAAATGCATTTTGTTATGCTTCCAAAAGTATTGAATGGTTAGAAATTTATTCCGTAATTTTTTTTTCCTTTTTAATATTTCCGTTTATTTTTGAAAATTTAGATGTAGACATTCCCATTTACAATATAAAGCATTTCAGACGATCCAGATTTCCCGATGAATCACATTTTCTACACTAAAAATCTTCATGGAATGATTGGGACCGCTTATTCTCACTCATGCTGTACCAAGTTTGCAGTTCACCACCATTACAGCAAGCTTCGCAAGATGCGCACTTTTTCTTCCACGTTTTGCTTTTTGTGTGCCTTACTTCAATACTTTTTTGCTTTTTGTGTTATTTGTTGAAGCCAGGTGTTAAAATTCTTAGCCTACGCCTAGGCACCATGTTGAAGCGTTCAATATTAATGCAATAAGTGAAATTCCTATATTTCTGAATTTTAGATCAGATATGCACTTAGCGATAGATTCAATTCCTGAAGAAGAAACTGTCTTCCTTTTTACCCGATATCCTTTTCCAAATTCTTTCAAATTCAACGCAATAAAGGAACATAGATTATCAAAAGCACAGCTAAAGTTCCTTCAACAGTCATTTCCAAACCTTTCCCCAATATGGTAAGTAATATCGCCATCGTCAGAATGCAACATTTCGGGTTGATGAATTGACTTCAGAACTAAATGTGACAGTCCTTCAAAAAAAAACACTTCAAATTTTTAGAGTAATCAATAAGAGAAGTTAAAAAAAACTGGTGATATAACTACTTATGGAGAGATATGAAAAGCAAATGTTCTATTTATTATTTCTCTCCTGAAAAATGTTGTCTACCACAGGCGAGAAGTAAATGCTATAATGCTATTGGATCTTTATTATCTTCTCGCCTTCATTAGCCTTCAGTATTTTTGCTTCAACTGCAAAGTAAATCCACCCGTTCGAAATACTGCATTATCGCGATAGCAGTATCACCTTGCTGTGCTATGAAGAAGAATTTGGAAATAAGAACAGAAGCTTTGTCCTAAAAAAATTTCTCATATAAGTATTATTAAACTGGCAATATGAATTTGCTGTAATTCCAGAGTTTTTAATGAAGAAGTAGGAAATATAATTATCCCATGAGATTGGTATTTCAACAGATAATTACAAAATTGGTTACTAATTGTACTATTCCTGCCTTCTTTGTTTTCAATCGCATCGAATTCAACTTTTTCTGATGACTGATATTTACAGTTGCTTTGGTTAGTAATTTATATTGCAGTCCTTTTAATATTATCAAATAAATATTTTAAGAGAACAGTGATGAGTGGTACTTTGTCCTCAAACATAGTAAGAAAATGAAATCAAATTATATTGGCTTCAATGTATAGTTCACTTCATTTCACTGAAACATGTTCATAAAGAGTGCATCGATCTTTCGAAATAAGTTATTACTATTTTCAGAGTAGTAAGGTAATAGAACAATTTTAAATTAGCCTGCTGAACTCCATCAGATATTTTAACATTTATGTAGCAAAATAGTTCATTTTGAAAACTTCCAATCTGTCTGGATGTTAAGCACTGAGCTACATCATTGACAAAATTCATTTACACTAAATAAATGAGCACTAAGCTTACTTTTGATAAACGCATCTTATACAAAGGTTAAAACTTGACTAAATCTAGCAAAGTATATAGTAAGTATGCTCATATAAGTGATATTAACTATCCTCATTTCGTTTCATGTGAGGTCTATTCTCAAGGTTTCTTCCACTGCTATAACCACAACCACTTGCCCACATTTTACATCGCAAATTTTGACACATCATTTAGCAAACGGAATTAATTAAAAATCCATCTAATTCTGGTGTGATTTCACGTTGTTTTCTTACTTGTGAATAGTTTAAACCTCCTCTTTTGAATGAATTGTTGTTACAAGATTATTTTAGAATTAGAAAACAGTGTTCTTGTAGAGGGAACCGTGACAAAGTATGAGAAATAAATTGTCGCTATGCGTTTGTCAACTGTTTGTCGTCTATGCGAGACTTTCAATTTAGCTAACTCTACAGGAGGATATGTTTAAATGAAGTACCCGAGTTCATCGCTCGAACGGATAGATGTAAACCTCACAAGAAACAATTTGAGAAGGAAATATATTAGCAAATTGAGAACAGTGTGACCAATCGTGTCTACCCTTGTTTTCTCATGTTACTTTTCTTCAAATAATGTAGAGAAAAAGCTTCGATTTGCAACTTTTTGCACATTTCCCGTACCTGAAACGGACGAATTTTCCACATTCAGTTAAGCCGGAATGTGACCGTATATTTTAAAGTTTACTGCAACAGAAGCAGACTTACTATACTGAAGAAGTAGTGCACGTGTGCAACAAACAAAAAAACTGCCAGCGATCTCAGCAGCAGTAATTCTCCTTCTGCACTCAGAATATTCGACATTGAGAACAGCGCAGCCGAACAGTACAACATCACCGCTGTGTTGCACGTTTGAGCGCAAGAGTCACTCATGTGTGAGACTATTAATCGACTCTGAAAGTTCCACGTAATTTGGGATGGATTCTTCCGGATTATTGAGCGGAATTCAAGAGTAACGTTTCAAAATAAAAGAATAAAAAGAGCAGAATGAGTTGTAGCATGTGGAGATGAGAGAAGAATACAACTACCGCCTTTTTATAAAATCACATCCCTTATACTTCTAGTCCTCTTTAGTGTTACAGCAAGGCTTCTTCTTCAAGGTTATTTCCTTAACTTTTGGCTTGAGCATAAATAGTATAAGTAAAGTGAATAAATGTTGACAGCAACCATTCTTGACTCGAGTCATTCTCGAGTAATTTCATTATATGTAATATAAAGCCTGCAGCACAAGTGTTGAGACTCTGGTAGATAAAATGCTACTAGCAATAGCAAGGGGATAGTTCTTGGTTTAAAAAAAGGAGATTAGGAAAGTTATGTTGAAGTTAAAGTAAAACTTACATTTATATTCGCATTAACTACTGCAATGGTGAACAAGAAAGTAGGTAAATCTTGGGCAAGTACTTTACCCGGTGAAAATAGCGCCCATAAGAATGCAGCCACGTTCAGCTCAAGGGCTGGAATAATCGGCTGGATCCAGCAGATCATACTTTGCTGCAATTTTTTTCAAGTTAGTGAATAAGTTTCGTCTTGATTTGAAGGTATGAAAATTCACAGCAACTCGTACCTTTTCGGAGACCGGTTGCGAGTCATAGAATTGATAGATGTGATACAGCGAGAATAGGATGTTTGATGTACAACACACTGAAATCAGTAAGGATTGATATGTGGAAGGGATATATTATCACTCATGATAAGTGGAAGGATTATCATTCACCTACTCATCCGTTTCATTCACTTAAATAAAAAAAAATTCATTCCCTCCACTCAGTTTTTTCATAGCTGGGAAAGTTAATATTACCGTTGAAAATGAGCATAATTAGATCGCACACTTTCCAGTTATTGAACAAACATGCTGTTACCAAATTGTCGCCATCAAAGTAGGCCAATATGTGCAATAAATTTGAGACCTAAACAAGCACCTCTATTTTATTATTCGATTGACTTCGAGAAATCAAGCCACTGCGTCATATCAACGGTGTCCAGCTAATTGAAAAAATGGCGTGTAATGAGGTGAAAGAAGAAGTTACTAACACTGCAAGTGAAGGAAACAACGTGTTATTACTTATGCTGTATAGCTCTTATGCTTAGTTCAAAAGACTTAAAAAATTCACTTACGTAAAATCCTTCAAAGCACCACCTAAGACACATAATTTTGGTGATGTATTGTTCCCAGAAAGCAAATGTGTGAGCAGTCAACATTTCAATTAGCAACGCTAGCGAACATAAGGATGAAATGCTGCAAGTACTGATCAATTAAAAGAAGATTAAGTCTAAGTTAGAGAAATTCAGAATCAAGGAAAAATGATCGTACCGGGAGTTACTCTCGTTGAAGGGCGCAAATAATGTTATAATGAATGGAAATACCTTGCATGCATCCAATGCGTGATCAACTGCAAGCAATAATTATTATCTCAGTTATCATTCTCAGAAAGGATGGAATAGGATGGTATATTAACTGTTCAAATGTTTAAAACATGCAAATATACTTAATGATTAGTTTGTTAAAAATTACTCCATCTTTTTCACAGTGCTCTTTCTCTGGAGACTTCGCTAAGAGTTGGACATTTTTTCACGTTTCAAGTAACTAAACTTAAAAGATAAAAACTTACAAAATTCACCAACTGGACTAACTGATGACGTTCGTCGTGCTTGTATCCCGTCAATTCCATCGTATGTGTGGCTCCAAAATGAACATATTGCGCAAATCATCCACACCCATCTCGGTATGGTACATAAAATTCAAATGTTCATTACAGTACTGAATCAACCTTTCTAATAAAAATTACTGAGAATCAACTGTTTAGAGAACCGGTGTCTCACCTGAACTGGGAACTGGACCATTAAATAGATCGTAATCATAATATAAAATGATTAAGCAAGGTAGTACGATGAGGACGAAGCTCAGCACTGTTAATACATTTGGTGCTATCCATTTTGGGTGATACTGCAAAGAAGGAAACTGATTCTGATCGGAATGCAGGATTCTCGATTGGTGCACCAGTCATATTCTAACAATTCCTACTGAGTTACTACTACAGATAGATCAAAGTGTTTCAGGCTCATCACAAATTTTGTAGATATCCAAAATGGTCTCACTGAAATCGATACTCAATCCTCAGAAATAAAAATGACACCTGTGAATCAGGTTCTAGTAACAGAAATTTCTTCAAAGTAGAGATAAAAGGCAAGAGTAGTATGTTGCTGATTGCAACGTTTCAGTTACTTTTACAAAAGATTGGTGGCAATACCTCGATAAACCAGTTCCAAAATGGTGAATTTATATAAATGGTAATCGGCCCATTACACATTACTTTGTACTGAAAAAGAATAAAAGTGAGATATAAGCAAAGTTTTCTTATACAAATCTCTCCACTACTCCAAACATAGTCGAACAAACTAAAAAGAAAACTTTCTTCGTGATGCGCAATTCTCTCCAACTGCTCCTCGGTTAAATTTTTCTGCTTGGAAAGACCAAATCTCATATTCGATCTGTAACTGATCTTCCGTGATTGTTATTACTGTAATAAGGGTGACATCATTGATCATCGTCATTAAATACTTTTCAAAATAAATTATTTACAATGACTAATTCAATAAGAAGTTTAGATCATTTCACTTTCATTCTGAATGGGTGCGAAGAATGGTATATTTTTAAACGGTCATATATTGTGCAAGTGTTGCTCCTCGTCATGAAATACTTTCCAAAATAAATTAATTACTGGAGATTAGATTAGGAGTGATACTATACAATCCAATTCTTGATACCTGTCACACCGAACCAATACAAATCGACAGGTAGAGTTAAACATGTGTGAATAGCTTAGAATAAAATGCTGAAAAAGCTGTTAGCAGAATTAGCCAGCGGTCATTTGAATGCAAATGTCGTTTGCTGCTGCTCCATTCCCACTAAAGTGATAAGGTGTGGGAGAAATGCTACCAGTACCCTTACCTCTGTGCTTGTGCTCTCCAACAGAATTAGCTACACCTGGGTTGCTGCTCGAGCAAGGTAAGCCTCTTCAGGTAACTTTCATTTTATCAGTCCCGCACGAATCACTCGTTCTTGTCTTTTGATCGATGCTACTATATATTGTTAACTGTGTATTTCTCAACGTGTTCAGCTGCATTTGGCACATTACTACTGCTTCTGCTCGATGGAACTTTCTTGAACGAATCTATTCTCTTTTCATTTATTGTAAGCTAAATTATTCCTTACAAACGTTGCTTCATGTGATAATACTATGCAATGAACAAAGGCATATTGCAAACACAAACTTTGCATTAGCTCTGGTCTTGATCAGTTTTATCCTATCCTAATCTACTGGTCTAACTCAAAAAATTAATTCTTCAATCAGCGAAAATGACAGAAGACAGGAACGGATGTTTGTACTGTTGCACAGAGAGTATAATGGCAAAGAAAGATTATGATATGGAGAAATAATACAAGAAATGATGGTAGGTCGAAACTGGATTGAAAAACAATTTAAGATTACTAAATTAAATCAGATATTCTCGTTTTGTTCGAATATTGGAAAAAAATGAATAGAAATGTAGGTAAAATCACAGCAACATTCTGTTACTGATGTTGAATGTCGAGAAAAATAATTTAATATCTAAAAAAAGAACTTCAAAGCGATTAATGTCCTTTTTTTTTGCCTCTTCGATAAAGATATGTCCTAATTAAAGAAGTGATCAAGTATCCTTTGTTGCTAATTGAAATTCAATGTAAATCTCGCCCGACCTCATAACCACATCGATGTTGTTCAATCAACACCTGTGCTCTGTGCATAACCCAGGATTCATTCCCACCACCCTTCAGATTCAACTCATTACCATGTCATTTGCATTTATTTCCAACAAATTAAACTTGATGATAACATAATTCAGTGATAGTTCAATTGAATCAGCGTACTTATATCCGTTTTTAGAGGCCATTTTCTTTCAATGCAAACATGATAGGAGAGCGAACATCATAAAACATCTCTGGTTTGATGCACTGGCAGCATTCTAGCAAAGAAAAAGAAAAACCACCAAGGCCACCTTTAACTCCTTCTGACGATTTCCGTTCAAAAAGCGCTCAAATCAGGTCATATGTGAGAGAACTTTTAGTTCCCAAAAAACCACCACTCCTAATCAAACCTGTCCCAAACAGATTACACCGCATTGATGGCAGTGGACGCTACGACCTTCATGTTTCGAAATTATTTGCTACTACCGACATTTTCTCAAAACAGTGTTTATTGAATCGCCTTGCATTCTTGTAAGAATTCCTGTAACATATTGCAATTTTGGCTTTATACTTTATAACAGCATAGCAGAAACAGTGTTTTTGAAATATTTCCAACTTAACATGATCAGCGTGTATTTTCCTTAGTACTAGCTTCCTAATATTTAACATCAAACATTTAAGTGCAAATAAGTCCAAAATGAGGTACAAAAATTCTGTTCTTAATTAGACTGAAACTCTGACTCTAATTTCCACCTTAATTTTATTCAATGAAAATTATCAGTTCACTGTAAAATTCATTGTAATCGGGACTTTTCCTGTCCAGTAAGCTGTTGCAGTAGAAGTAATCATGATAGAAACAATCACAAGGCGCTTTAAAAACTGATTTCCACAAATGTAGGGAAGAAATAGCTAATGATTAACCCAATGGCACCCAGTTATTTGCCATCTAACTTCATCTACCAGCAATAAGGATGAAAAGTCCCGGCCTCTCCATACAGTATTGGAAAACGAGGTATAATAAATAGATCACCTGATATTCATGACGAAGAGGTAAGTTGAGAAGTAGCTTTTTATATCGATTAGCCGATTAGCTTTTTATCTATGAAAAACTATGAAACTGAGTTGACAGCTTCTCTGGCTTTTTGCCTATTCTCCTAATGTTGCCTCAGTAAATTTCATATCACACATGTTGTACCGATCATGTTGGTAAAGTATAAGAGGGAAGATAATCTAATTGAAAAAGTTCCCATTCTCCAGCAGTTCACAGGATGGAACCTTACTTTCCATTATTGATATGTTCCAAAAAAATGCAACGAGAAGTATAAACTACACAATGTAATGGTAGCCATTTTATATTATGAAAGAGACCAATGGATTTGAGATGAAGTGAGGCAAATATTGATTAAATCAATGTTCATGACTGTGAATTCAAACAGCAATAAGGGATGCAGGTAGCGAAAGCCATGAACAGGTCAGCTTACGCAGCACAGCTGACAATAAAAAATGAACTATATTGAGAGATAATATTTCTAGCTCGCATCCACAATATCGATATTGACAGAAGTCGGTTGATTACTTCATGTCATTGTCCTCATCGTCTATCTTTGGAGCTAAATAAAAGCGCAAATGTCCACTTTCACTTAATCCATACTCCACAACCACAGGTACACTATTGCACAAAGAAAGACGAACCTGAAATGTCAGTGGTATCACATAATCATCATACAGTAATATATGTGTATAAAACAGAAAAATAAGAGAATTCCTTAAAACAAACGAAAAAAATTACTCGGTCGGAAAGTCCTGTAGCCTTCGTGAAATGATTCATGTATTTGATAGAAAAATTGACTGTAACGGGCTCTTTAACGTCCACTGACACAGCCTATAACAAAAAGACATGTTGTTGCTGGGAAGAAAAACAAGTTTTGCTTCTAACCTATTTCAATAATGTATCAAAATAAAAAGTGATGACAAATACTTTAAGAAATGTACCTGTTGTTCTTCTTCATCGGCACTTCTTGAGGGAGCATAAGTAACTGTGGACGAACCGGTATCACCCTTGCCGGTGAACACAATACCTGCCTTTGTTACCGTTATCATCAAGGAGTCCGAGAACATTGCCAAGTCACGACAAGTTTTCTAAAGCGAAAAAATAACTTGAACAGTATATGATACATATGTCCGAATGTTAAACTGTAAACTGAATTCCTCAAGAATACCTGGAATTCAGCAGCCGGCATGCAAACAACAGCAGAATAATCCTGTTCCGGGATGCCAAGATGCTCGCTGTCGATATCCATCATTTTGACGATCACTTCCTGACTTTTATCCTATAAATACAAAAATGAATACAGGTGTTAAACAAAGACATATAACAGATACTCGCCTCTGCAATATTGCTTGTAATAAGCAATTGTCGGTAAGTAAAAACATAAACAGATACCCGTTTCGTGTCCTCGAAAAGGAACAGTACAGAATCGTCGTTTTCCTCATATCGAATCAAGCAGGTATCTTCATTGTTAGCACACTTTAATGCCCTTGCCATACCTGCCAAGCTGAGACCAAGGTTGATGGTTCTGTCGCAACGATAGCTCTCAAACATTGCAACATCCATTTTCAGTGACACCAACGCAACATGCGACGAATCCATTGCCTGTAAGTAGCCAGCTGAGTAGGATGGAAAGAGTACTGCTAAAATCCATACTGCATTGCACTAACCTGCAGACACATGGCAGTCTCAGTGCAGTCAAAAGGTGCATCCGTCACGAGGTCCTTGATGGCGTCCACGATTCTCTTCAACGTCGAGGCACTGCCCAACTTTGCTTCGAACATTGTCTTCAGAAGAGCTAACAAATCTAACTGCAATATACCCGACGACCATGTACATCACTTCCTTCTTTCCACTTATCCAACACAAAACAGACAAAAACAACTACGAAGATTTACCCGACCCGTACCCACATCTATCCCAATAGGGATTCATTCACATCATGTTGGAAATTGCCGCCAACAAAACAGCGCGCAAATTTACCAGGGCGTCGCATTCAGATCAGTGTCACCCGATTGCAGCCATATTGCACCTTTTCGGTGTCCCCTACTCCCATCTCGATATCTTCCCGTGAATGTTAATGTGGAGTGAGAATAAGGTTTGCTGTGTGATAACATGGCAATGATATGCTTACTGACCAACTTTATTATTTCATATCCAACAATAACCAGTTTACTTCAAATCAGCAATCAGTCATGACCACTTCAATATTGAGTACTACCCATTACCATGTATTATTTCATGTATACACACACACACATCAGATAATATTTCTTGTCAGGAAAGGAAATTCGCTTAGCAAAGTTGAAATTATACAAATAGTGCATGTTAACATATAATGTTAGGGAACATGTCAGTTCTCTTTATTCCATTATTGTAGTAGCACTGAGCTACTGCAAACTACACTGTAATTTTGTTCAGCAAACATTCGTGACAATAAAGTTGGACAGATAATGCCAATATATATATATATCCATTATTCAATAATCTTTATCCAGTCAGATCTGAATACACTCTCAATGCACTTCAGCGATAATTTCCGTTTTGTACTGGTTTGAGCTAAACAATCGCGGCAGTTATTTATGTTCATCAACCTGCCGAAGCGTAATATTGATGCGATTTGTATTTGCATATTTCACTATCTCTTCGGGCTGATCTTTATCCTCGAAATATGTATCTTGGAGAATCCGTGGGACTGCATGGTATATGAGTCGTTGTGGTCCGTAAATAACCAGGACATCACCTGACCGTATGTAGAACGCATCAACTGGGTCATCTAAATCAGTACCACCAGCCAGGTAAATTGCAGTCTGACCGAAACTTAGCGAAATAAGTGGTGAAGACAGACTCCGTTCCGATCTGAAATGAAATAAATGCTTCGAAGACAATTAAGAAGCTAGATAACATCACGAAAACATACATATAACAAATATACGTTATTCAATCTAAAAACATTTATGTAATAGTGCAGAGGAAAGATTAAAAAATCATTAGTGAAGACATTCTTGTTCTGATCTTAACTAGATAATACGATCTTCGAGAGATGTCCTTCAATAAATTACCTATCAACATGTGGCGCCAGTGTTGACTTTCTTGAGTAGAAGTTTATAATTGCAGCATCAGCATACATCGGTCCTATGCCGAGTGCCTGAGACAGAACATCTGACAGCGACACTAACTCTTCAGGAAGTAACTCACCTGAACAAATGAATTCTAACTTTAACAAACCATTCCTACTAGCACACAGCATTCCTCGTAATCCAAACGTTCTTTTAAAATCAGTGACATGGAGAAATGCATACCTTCAAATGGATAAATCTTTGTTGCCCAATCGTAATGCAAACCAAGAGTAGACCAGCGCAATTGTCGTCCATGTTCTTTGAATACCTAAGATAACAAATTACGGTTATCGATTTAGCGAATGAATTCTTCTGTACTAATAACTTTATCCGCCAAATATAATTTGATGTATTCAAATATTCGACCAGAAACTGTCGCGCTTTCAAATATAATTCACAATGGTTTTTAATTTTTATGTGAAAATTTAGCTATGTGAAATTTAGCTATGTGAAAAGTTTTTTTCATTAGTTAGGAATAATAATGGAAAAAAAGACATAAGAAAACTTCAGGACTTGAAATTTTGATGGCAGGCTTAGTTTTAAAACTGACATACTTCTACCTCAAGCCTTCCGGAATGTTATGTGGATTTAACAGTTTGTCAGCGTAAAACTGGTGATATACCCCCTACCCCGCTCCCTCCTCCATACACTCGTTTGTATAAAAAAAAATAGTATAAGCATTTGTAAATCCAAATATTTGAACTTACATTTCGAACATTGGGCACCTGTAGGCCGACATTGGTGAAACCAGGTGATTCAGCGTAAATGAACAGTGAGCGTTTTATCCATTGAAGATGACTGCTCGATTTAAAAATATCATTCAACATTACCATACCTGGTCGGTGAGTGATAGTTGAAGCAGTCCACTCGGACATTGGACGAAGTCCGAGCTTTTCCAGCACTATATCCGATGGTGCCACAACTGGTTCGAATTTTGAGCAAATTATTCCATGAGCAGATAAGGAAGACCGTAAATCAAAAACTTCGGAGAAATTGGGTGCCATGTCATGTCGTTTATAAAACTTGAATGTTCGCTTGAATAAAGAGTCAGAAGGTGAGCGATCACGATAACCGTTACCATCATTCACACCTATTAAATATTTGTCAGTCTGATCGGTTGACCGCTTGTCGGATACGCTCGTCATGTTTCGTTTTATAGTAGCGTAACAGTTCACTTTTGCGCAAATCCAATTCGTCCTGAAGTCCCTGCAAATGGAAATGATGCTGAAACAACGGCTCTTTGATTTATTTCTTAAACTTCTGTCCAATCAGAAATGTGCTAACCTGAAGTGGTTCATAGACAGTCGCCACACCATATGCTCCAATTGCTAGACCAACAACAGCAAAAACAATCTTCGCAGCTGCTTGTTTTGGTGTTAATCGAAGTTGCCAACTTACCATGTCACGAACTACCCTTAGAAATTTATAAATGTAACAAGTGCACAGGTCACTTACTTAAAAATTTGCTAACATTTATTGTACCATTTTCACTATCATAGTATAATCTTCTCGCCCTTCGACTATTCATTTAAAATTAGGTCAAAGGTCAATATTTTAGAGTGGAAAATATCACCACCAAGATATAAATTTAGTATTTAGATCTGCCTATAATTAGATCTCACTCTCAAATTTCATCTTTAAATCCTTTCCAGACTAGTGCTTGGTTTTGCTCTACGTTAGACTCAAGCAATTTCAAGAAAAGTTCAAAACAACACTGTTTATTTTGTGCAAAAACTCTACACTAATCAAGCTAACTTTGAACAGCATTAATATCTCATAATGGCGATTGAATATAAGCTACAACATGAATTGAATTTCTCATTTAATTCATAATTACAAGGTTTATTATTTTCAAAACATTTGATCTTAGAAACCAGCGTGTAGCAGTGTCATTTCAAATATACTGAGTCGTTTAGAAATACTGAAGTAGTTCACGGAAGTCCCAGAACAATAACTAAATAAAATTTATGTGATTTGAAATGTTACGAAATGGGTATGCTTGGTGACAGAATACAATCGTCAAAGGGAGTTATTTAAATTATAAAAAGTTTATAACTACTAAATTTAAAACAGATCAACATAGCATATAGAAGGCAAATTGAAATTTGAACCAGTATGAAGCAGAGGAAAATGTTAACATAAAAATGATTTGAAAGAAGTCTACTTATTATCGTCGTATTTCTTCAATAACCGACTCCTTTTTCAAAAAAAGACACCAATTCTAAGTTAATTACAAAAGCTAATATTTTTACTATATATATATATATGACCAACAAGACAACCGCTTGAAAGATTGAACTTAATCATAAAAAACACGCAATCTGAGAAAGGATAAATTATTTCAGTGATCGACAGCACCACTAGAGTGAGGCAAATTGAAAATTGTTCGCGGCCAGGACAGGGCAGTATCATCCGTAGCAGGCGTTTCACTTTCTCTCGGTTCCAATTTTTCATCAACCTGCTGCAAAGACATTGTGTATACGTAGTATTTGAATTAGAAATGAATTTTTCTAAAATTAAACCAACCAACATCAATGAAACTAATAAGCAAATGAGCAAAGACCAAACATATCAGAATTTGAAATGAAAATTTATGAAACAATCAATGTACATTACCATGCTTCGATGATCTGCGACCAGAAATTTCGCTCGAACTTTCTTCATTGTTAACATTCCTTTCACCAAACGTCTCCAATTTCTCAAAGCCCTTTCTTTCCGTCTCTGAAAAGAATGTCTTGTTTAAAAGGAACAAAATTCTTTGAATTTAATAAATAAACATTATTTCACCTTCTCAGCTGCAGTTTGTTTTTTTTCGTGAAATTGTTTCCATGCTTCACGTAACACCATTTCATGCTTTTTCAAAACGATGCAACCATCAAGGCTGCAAAATTGTAAAAAAAATACAAAAAAATTGTTTTATTATGTGGTGATAAAATTTAAGTCCGAAAAAAAAATCGATTGAATAACTGAATGCAATTTACATTCATCCAATACTAACATAGGATGATTTCCCCCTTTATGAAATTCCCAGCCGACTACTGCAGGTACGCAATCAATATCAAGCTGCCGAGAAATAGCAGCAAGTCCATTTAGTCGCAGATGAACACAATCTTCCGGTACCATACTGCTTTTGTAAACATATAAATTACCAAATTCATTTCGCGGTATACGCCCCTAAAACATATTCCTTCGGTTTAACAAACTGTGAGAAACAGCAGTTCGTAAACTTATTTCGCATGCAAACAGTAAAAAAAAAAATCAAATTCTTCACGTTGACGACTTTAGGTGGTACATATGGTTCAGTTTGCCAATACCCATATAGCTCTAAGGACCGTGATTCTCTCATTTCTGATGCCGCACGATTATTCATTCTTCCCTTCACGATTTTATACGGCTTTTCACCGGCCTATAAGTTGCTTTTGTACAAGCACGCGTAAAAAAAAAGTATAACATCATTTACTTGTTTAGTATTTATCTTAAAAAAAAAAAAAAAAAACCAAACAACAAGTGGATTTATTTCGTAAGAAATTTTTATGATAACTAAAGCATACCTTAACCATACGTGCATGTTTCATCCAATTCAGTGCGCCGTCAAGATGAAACAGAGAACTTCGCGGAAAAATATCAATACCTCGAATTCGTCCAATAGGAGCCTGATCTTCCGGGTAAATCGCCTCATATTTCAGAATGTCTTTCTTCAATACATACCTAAAGTAGAAGATTTCAGTGATGAAATAAATCTATGGAAATTATCTTACAGTGGATGATTTTTGTATTCGGCAACCGTTGCTGGCTTTGGCTTTAAGAGGAGTTCATTGTATATTGCAATATCTTCAATGCGTTCACGTTTCCGGTTCTTGCTCTGATATATCTACAAATAAATTAGAAAAGTTAACAACCACAGAAAATCAAAAGGTCCGTACGAAATACAGCCAAGCTTAGCTAACCTTTAATGTATCAGTCCACCACGAAGCATCAACTCGAAGTCGTCGCGTTTCAGCTGATAGGAATTTTGAAGCATAACGAGCTGTTACGTCACGCATACCCATATCTGTACTAGTCATGTAATTCGTCTAGCATGAAAAGAATAGAGAATAATTACTAATAATAGGGAACTTACTATTATCGATGCAAACAACATAATGCATTGGTACAGTGGCATTCGTTTCCAAGCTTTCAGGCATATCGACAGTTCCGCACCACGGATCCATACCTAAATAAAATACAAATTGATACTTGACCAAAAGAAAGGGAAACATGAGAACATGAATGAATTCCACAAAAATCACTTGAACACTGAGATAATGAACTGATTTTGAAAAATCACAGCTGAAGTTTCTCAATTAGCAAAGTCAACAAGACCAGTCCAACGAAGGAACTATATCTCAGTGGAGATATTGCATTTGTTCATATCATGTTACATTACTATTTATGGGGATCATCCGCCTAAACCTAGATTGACAGAAATGCAACGTTTTGACATATAGGGCACCGCACATATATGTATGGTTTTTCATACAAGTTATACAAATTAAATACGCAAATTCAGAAGGAAACGCACAAATCCATCGAGCATTATTATGATCCCAATATTCTACCCAGTAATTCCTTCTCGAATCCACCTTGTTTTTACTGACTGGTGCGGTATGTTCGGAATTACTTTTTTCAATTCTTTTCGACTTCTTTATATATGGTTTTTTCGTTTCTTGATACTTTTTAACACTACTTTGTTCGCTGCAGTCATCTGTATTTATTTGCACCTTCTTCGTTACTTCATATAGTTTCTCTTCCCATACTACTGAATTGTCGTCGTTATTGATATTCTTTTCAGCAAACGTTTCAGTATGCTCAGAATGCAACATGCTCATTGTCTAAACAACATGTTATGCTTCATGAATATTTGTACTGATATACGGATGAAAATATAATATGTTTTCATCAAGTAATTTTTCTAGAATCACTTAACTGTCATTATTTTAACTGAGTTATCTCACTGCTACTTTTAATGAATACTGGAAATATAATTAGCTATCTGACATACCACTTTCTGTTTTATAGGCTGGCATGAGAGACACAATCGGGTGCACTGCTTCAACGATAAAAGACACAAAAACAACAGCTGAAAGAATAAAAATGTGGAGAAATGGTTCACACGAGTTATAACATAATTATCACCTATAACCTCTCGTTATTTATGAAAAGCTTACCGATGCTAAATCTTTATCGTCTTCGTAGGCACGTTCGCCAATCAGATCTTCTAGTCTTTTTATCTAAATTTAAAACTTAATTAATATGAAATATTGAGGAAAACATTAAACAGACTTCAGCGATTCAATAACTTAATTTATTGATAAAGCAGATATTAAAACAACAGGTAAATAAACATTGCCTGAGAATCGCAAAAGCCATCTCTGGAGATGTATTTCTTTTTAGTAAATTGGAACATTGATCGAAACCATTTCATGAATCTTTCTGCTATTGCCACATCGAATTCATGTTTCGCTGCGGTTATATAACCTTCTGGTATCAACGATAAACACAGCGATGTTAACGCCTCATGTCGTGTTAAGGCGCGTGCCCAGATGCGCAAGTGTGCAATATAACAGAGAAGATGCATCTGAATTTAATCAAAGAAGTTTTGCAAGCAAGAACATCTCAAGTGTCTAGAAAATATTTCAGTTTAGATAGATACAATCCTTTGGAAGATTGGCAAAAGTAGGCAGCTATATATTATATTCTCACATTTCACTAAAGTGATTCGAATTATAGTCATTTAAGCAAAACCTGCAGGCGTTTTTTTAAGAGACAATTTTGCTCTTTACATTCTCAATGAAACATCCTAATCTTTGACTGCTAACCTTATGACAATTAATTTGTCGTTCACGAATTTTACGATTGACCTGCTGTCTAATAAATTTCATCCACTTGCTCTCCTCCTTTTCGACAGGTTTCGAAACTCCAATTGTAACTTCAACCGTACCATCAGGATCTGCTTCATAATTAGTTTGGTCAATAAAATCAACTTCTTCCCACTCATCCTCCGAAACATTTGAATTAGTAGTGGCATCCGAACTAATACTAACTTTACGTTTCCGCGTATTCTGTTTCTTGCACGCTTTGACAGCACCTTCTTTACATTTCGAATTTCCTAAAAAAAAATGGCTTGATTTAAAGTTCTTGAAAAGTTATTGAGTCTTTATAGCAGTGCTGTCGCAACCTGTTCTGTTCTGTTCAACTTGCAATAGTTTTACCTTGTTCCAGATTGAAATGGTCCCTGTTCTCCACGCTAACGTTCACTTTCTTCCCGCATCCTTTTACGGTTGTCACTTTTGATTTCCGTTCCAGTTTTCTACTTTTACGCTTCCTAACACTTCCCATTCTGCAGGATATGCTCTGATTTCACACAGCACTTTCTACCATCTATTCCATGCATTCGCCAATTACATTTCCACTTGCTGAGAACGAAGTATCACATTTGAGAGAGTGTCTTCAGTGTTAAACTGAACATTCCTAACAGCGCCCATAGTGCCTACCGCACTCTCAGAACCGGAGAACCATCCCTCATCTCGAATAGGACACAACTAATCCTTCTCCTGCTTTAGTAAACTTCGAACACACTAGTGGTTCGTCATTCAGGAGCTGCCGTCGTTGAGGAAGTCAGTCAGTGTGGATGGTCTGAGGAGGGCAGATGTGTTTCCGGAGTGTTGGACAGACGAGACCGGAAGTGAGGACATTCCGAATTTGCGACCACCCAAAGAACATCACATGACTGCGAGGTATGTGAGACATCATTTCTGTTTGTTATAGGATGTAAACATTATGATGAGTGCAGCTCCTTAAAAGGTACAAGAAGCAATCACCACTGTGTGTGTCGTGTATCAGTTTTAAATGACGTCACCTTTATTCAGCAATTAAGGCACTACATTAATATCACACAAACAAAAAATGTACCATGGGACTTGCTGGCACAGATGATGACGAAAACAGTTACAGAAAGTATGATACACATAATTTCTGAAATTATGAATCTTGATTAGAAGAATTAAAGTGGCTAGTGAGTTTCCAAGAGATTAGAGAATTTCCGGAACTTGAAAAGGACAAAATTCTCCTGACTTTACTTCTTCAGAAGAGAGTCCCTTCCAAGTCCTGTTAACTGCAAGTTGCTGATGAATAAAAAGTTATTCAGTCGAAGCACAAATTCAACGACTGTTCGTTTTGACCTTCGCTGTTCTTCACCACACACTTGTACCTATGACATGAACGATATTGTTTCATTTATCTAACTTGTTTGTCCGATAAATCACATCAATGATGGTCATTATTCAGAATATTATTATTTGCCAAAATTTATCGATGAGGATGGTTTACTTGATCAAAATTCACTGACTGATCGATTTTCATTTCAATTAATTCGTAAAATCACCATGAATTATTAAAATTATGACCCAAAAATGTCTCACTTGGCCTGGTCCTCCTTTACTGGACCGTGTATTTCCAATAAAAACTGAAAGCCCTCTTTATCTTTATCGTCTTTTTTTGCGACTATCTTTATTCGATCCGTCGCTTTCAGTGGTTTATCATCCTTAAAAAATGAACCAGTAGACTAGGAATGATAATAAATAAATCACTCTTTTGATAGCGAGTAAGGCAAAAGCACATTAGGTATATGATATTCCGTCCAATTCTTATTAAACTACTTCATTTTTTACACTTTTTCTTTAATGAATTTAGAAGGCTCAGAGATCCTTGAATTTTCATGTCCATCTTGGTCTTGGAATAAAGATATGATACCTTGAACCATTCAGCTGTCATATCCAGATGTGATTTTGCTCGAACCTTAATTACAATAATATTACCACCATCACGCTGTACTATATGAGGCTTATCATGAAATTCTGGTGCATCTGCAAAGAAATAAGTGTCTTATGGTAATCGCTTTCATTATAAAATTTAACTAATCTATTGATGATTTCGCTTGGTAGTACTGTAAATCTTGCCAACAGTGTACTCCAGTTATCACACTGTTGCACATATATTATCAGTCCACTACCAAATTATCGTTGCTTTCATTACTGGAGCATGTAGGCAAAAAAATAGAATTATTGGTGCGAATGATGTAAAATGTGTTATAATAATATCTGGAGTATTGGTAGGATAAATTATGTGAAATTTAATTACCATTCCAAGATGCTAATTTCCAGCTACTAATTTGATAACTGTTCTAACCGATACTTAATTCCTGACAATAACTTGCTATAAATATGCCCATAAACATCGAGAAAAAAAAATACAACTGAGGAACAGTTAGTTAAATCAAGAAAGCATCACTTACTTCCAGCTTTCACAGTAAATGTAGCACTATTTTCGCCATCGCTGCTGTAGAATTTCGCCTTATATGAACCCGCCAATTCCTTATCGAAATTCTTGATAAAGAAAAAGAAAAACTTCAATATGGGTAGATATTTACATTTTCAAATGGGTAAACAACTGCAGTTCCTAAGAAAGCGGTGCAGTATCAAGTTGCTTAAGTTGTTTACGAAGATGAATGCATGCTGTGCTGAGTTCCACTGATCAGCCTCAGCAAGCACTCATTTTGAAACATTACAGCAATGCAAGTATGAACTAACACACAAACAGTATTATTATAATGACATTATTTTGCAACAGAAGCAACAATAATGCTTGAGTAATTATGCTAATAGCCGCTGCTTTAAGTGTCCAAAAATTGAAAGAACTTGCAGCAAATTTCATTTCCAGGTGAACCGATAACCGCAATTTAATCATATTAATTTGTAATTTTAATAATTTGTTATTCCGGACAGCTTCTATTACAGATTGATTAACATTGATCACCAAAACCGCATCACCACTGATGTCAAAATAGCCAATTTTACTTAACCCGTGAAACGAAGACTTCCTCACCTTAATTTCACATCTTAACAAAGTTTTCTTTCCGCCTTCATCGTGTTCTGAGAAGACGTATGTTTTAGTTGGCTCAATTTCTTTCTCGCCCAAAAACCACTTTGTCTTTTCAGGCAAAAGACCTACAAGCAAATGAATAAATGAAGGAAGTAAGACACTGTAACTGAAATGAGTAAAAAGCAGCACTAACCGGATGCGATCACTTCTAAAAAGACACTGTTTGTTGCGCTGTCCTGTACAATCTTCGGTTCCCCATGTATTACTGGCGGCGCCATTCCGGTGCAACCTGCAAATATCCTGTCACTAATTTAACTTCGTACATTCGTCATGAATGGAGTGGAGAGAGACATTTTCCTGAGATGATCGAGAAGTCAAGAAGTGAAGGCTACTGTTGCCTCTGAAGGAGTAGGCGTACTCTCGACACTGCCAACATTGCAATTTCAACAAGTTTTTTCTAGGATGAGGCAAGTCAACAACTGACTCTCATGACAGCTACTTCTACCATCTCCTCCTTTAGAACCCCACCCATCAGCATTCACCAATCCAAAACTAACTGAAACCTAAGCCACAACACAGCACTTCCCCTTCCACACACACATACGAAACCACATCCGTAGCCACATCTGTCCCGCGACCACATCATCTCTACTCTGATCTTCAACTCACTCTCTTACAGGTGGTTCACGCCACAAAGGGTAGGAGAAGCGTACGGAAGATGTTCGATCACCTAACGCATAGACTGACGCAAGTAAGCCAGGTGCAGATGTCTGTGCCTAGCTTCCTGCGGAACCACTTTTCTGCTACTTAGCCGGTCCTTTCCAACTTGACAATTGCAAGAAAAGCTCTCCTTAGGGCAATCCACTCATTCTCATTATGAATGCTACGTCTACTCTGTTCAATAAATGATGTTAGTCGAAGACAGAAGCGCTCCACAGTGATTATCTTAGCATGCAATGAGTAGAATTCAAATTCACACCCAAATTGTCTTTAATCTGTAAAATAAGATAGCAGGAAATGGTACTATTGATAACTGTTAGAGAGTAAGTCTAGAGCACTGTCTTTATCTGTCCTGTATTGTCATATAAGCCAAAGTAAGCACAACTAATTATCTTATAATTATTGCTCGGTATCCACCAAGCAGTGCATTGGCAATCGAATCGAAAAGTCAGTTCGCTTCTCTGTGATCTGTGACCATTACCAAAGAGTTATAATGCTATGAAGAGCAGAATTACCTCTCAATTCATCCATACTTTCGACTGATTCGGAGATAATTTATAACAGATAGTACTACAGACATATACTAGCTGCACACACACACACACACACACACACACACATGCACACACACACACACACACACACACACACACACACACACACAAACAAACACACACACACACACACAAACACACACACACACAAACACACACACACACAACACACACACACACATGCACACACATACACACACACACACACAAACACAAACACACACACACATGCACAAACACTTCTTGCATGCACGCACTTTACAGCGGGAATTTAATGGATTTGGGGAAGCGATGGTAGCAGCGGGTGGATGAATGGATTTCAGTTCGGAACGGACTAAGCAGACGTGCGGGAGAAGAAGGATGAGTCATCTCTCTTTAAGAACAGCTGCGATGGCTAATGTTTTTACTGCTTGTTATCATCACAAATCGAAAACTTTCAAACCTTACTTTTTCTTTTGTTGGGAAACTAGGGACAGATTAGAAAGGCGAAGAGACAGAAGCAATCAAATGACACAGATGGGAAGATAAAGCCCGGAGGAAAAGTATAAGTGGTTGTTAAATTCTCGACTAATTATACGAAAGCACAAGACTACCACCCCTCATATAAGAAGCTGTCATCGTGTATGTGTAAGGGATTTCTCTCCACATACAATTATAATCGCCCATTCACTTGGACGAGTACCGTTTCAGTCTTCATTTGATGTCACCGAAGATTGATTCCATTTCTGACGATATCATGAATCAATCCCTTTATGATCTTTTACATTTTGCAGTAAGATAATCTCATGCATGAATAACTGCTTTCAGTTCAATGTAAAAAATGAACTAACACAAGTCTGTGTATTTCTAAGCCAATTCTTCCAAAAAGATGCGCCCGAATGCATTATTTGACGTGACGTGAGATGTCAGGAAAAGAAGCGATTGCCTCCCGGATCATCGTTCATTTCAGGATTTGTAATGTCTTATTTGAAAACAACATCTAATGTAGACTTATTTATTAAATCATGTAAATTTAAATAAAACAGAACAAGTCCATCAATAGGCCGATACAACGTGAAATGACAGTGGCCATTAGAACGACAAGGACACTTCTAGTCAGAGTTATATTGTACATTGCTGAAAATGAGTGAATTTTAACATTCGTTGAGAATGGATGGATAATTGTTAGAGTTGAGAATGATACAAGTAAGCAATCACCTCGCTGCGCTTGCACGTGAGATATGAATATAAACAGTTCGGTGAGTATTCTGTACGACCATAGTAAATGTAAATGCCATATAACCGACAGGACAGCAAATACGTTTCCTGAGAAACATATCAAATATTATATTAACTCATTTCGTTCCCGACATAATCACGCCAGTCGGAAGTTATGCTCGTCCTTTAAATAACTATGCTTTCACGACTTTCTACATTTCTTCAACTAGGAATAATCTACTAGCGAATGCACTGGTCATCATCACCTGCACATTGGTCAAAGAACTCACAGCTATGGTCAAAGAAAGCTTTAGACACATGAAAAAGCGCCAACTGTGATGCAACAAACCATAGGATCCAATGCAAAATGTCTGCAATGTTTTGTTGACGGAAAATGTTGCAGAAATTTGAAGAGACATTAGTGCCAACACAATCACAAATGATGTCATTTCCAACAAACTTTGCAACAAACATTCATAAAACTCCCATTCCAAATCATAAACATTCTCGTCACCAGACATTATCCGCCGTCTTATCCATTTGCTATAGGCATTGCATAGCATAAAAATAATGCACAGCTTGTGACAGTACTGCAAGTAAAGCTCTATGCAATGGTGACACAGGATGGACAGCTATACCAGTGGCTATGCTGTGATGCATACTGTCAGCTTAGAATTATTTCTTGCAATCGTTTCAATTTCTTTACAAAGAAGCTTTGGAGAAAGCCGACATTGCTATGGTACAGTTTACATCTTTGCATGTCAAAGCGCAGACCGATGACACAGCATGCAGCAATGTCGGCCTCACGTGCTCAATTCACTCACTCACTCACTCACTCATTCGTACTTGCATTCTGAAAAGCATAAAGGATACGCGGTTGTTGCCGGTATTCATCAGGAAGTGTCGATACGCTTCAATATACTGCAGCATGAGGTCAATTATTACCAGCACAATGTCATATTCGATATATGCGTCCACAGCTCTGCCGCAGTTAGACTGAAACTGAACAGAAGGTCACCAGCGCATCTGCTACTGTCACAAATGCATAGAGAGGTCATCTGCTTCAGCACGATCCTAATTAACGCTTAAACTCATCCGGTTGATATCGAAGCTAATATGCACTTGCAAAGTGAATCACTGGGCAACATACACATGGCGTGAGTCGGATACCATTGTCACTGTACTTTAGAAAAAGACTGGATGACGGGTGACAACAATTGATGCAAATGTACTCATCCACCATTCCTCTTGTGCCTTCCACTTCGTTCCTGAAACTTATACACGTCACTTCACTGACGCAAAATTTAGACTGCACACTCGGAATGAACACTCCACAGGCGGATATGAAAAGGGATAAAAGAACTTGAAGCAATTCAGGTTTTTCTGCTGCTGGGAGAAGGGAGGAGCAAGGACGGACCGTTGCATTTTGTCACAGTATGGTTTCGACAACGTGCAAAGAGTAGCAAGCTTTCCGGTGGAGTCGGATAATCTTAATGATATCTGGAAGGGACCAGGGCTTGTCACCACTGAATGATGGCGGAACACTGGCGACATGTGTGGCAGAGCAGTGAAGTTCTCGGTAAGTTGTCCTTGTATAGCTATTTCCTTGCATCTTTCAGTCTTTCACTCACTCATTCTCTCCCTCACTTCGGTTGTGACATCTCCAGTTTATGGTTCAAGAACACCTGCGAATTTACAATAATCTCAAATTATATGTAAACTGACAGTGATCCTTTCTTATTGAGTGCGTTGTTTGCTTCTCTGTATAACTTGTTTTCTACTTGTCCTCGATCCCATCCTGAAATGCTCTTTTTCGAGACATTAAAAAATAAAACCTAATGAGCTTCTTCTGTCTCACAAATATCTATTTAAATTGAAGCATCTGCCCTAGTAATTATTAACCTCTTCTCGTAAGAAATAATCAATTTAATCTTGACAATGTCACTTGTCGAAGAAATGATCTAATTATGACTAGCAGTATGTAGCTCGGAACTTGTTCCATTGGTTTCCGTTATTTTTTCTGCAAAAAAGAAAGTACCGAGAATATATTATTCCATAGACGAAAAAGTAAGCCGGTTATGGAATGCTTTATTTACTTCCTTTATTCGCTTAAATTTACAAAAAAAAAATCTGAAGAAGAGCGTTTTTAATTTGTTTCTCGAATGCAACTATTTTCTTAATCTGAAATACGAAGGTGGAATGGTTTTTTTCTGCCCTTCTGGTCTTCCTTTTATTGACAGTTTTCTCGGGTTTCGATTTAATTGTTGGACAAACTTAAAACAGCATGTCAATTCGATAATTTTGCTCTTGACTTCTTATAAATGGCACGCATTCTCCATTGTTTGGACCTAGTACACAAGATAGCAATTTTTTAATCTTTAGCTTGTAAATGTGCTCCAGAAAACTTGGAGAGTGCAAAATTTTCTTCGTTAGTCCTTGCATCTTTTCGATTAGTAATATTTATGAGAGTATGTTCTTTATTCAGAAACTAATAAATGTCCAAAAATTTTCGGGTTGTTGGTTATTTTGTTAGTTTGCGAAAAAAACAACAGTGAAAAAACAAGAAATGGTATGCCTAGTGGACTATGAATCCAAATAGTTGCAGAATGATGTTTTATTGAACAAAATCCTTAAGGTTTTTTCTTTGGCGTTGTCACCGGAACTGAGTATGAAATATTATCGAAGGAATTTTACAAGAACTATAATCAGTGCTCGCTGTATATAACATAAAACCAATGATGCAGGTGACTATATCTCTGCACATCATTATCTATTCGAAGGGTGTACAGTTCTTGAATTGGGCGCCGGTTGCACTGGAATACCGGGATTAGTTGCTGCGAAATGTGGAGCCAAATTGGTTATTTTTACAGATCATCCCGAAAGTGAAGAGGTGATCATCTTTATAACGTGTTTTTAATGATTTGTATTTGGATATGGCAATTAATAAAATGCCCTGTTTATGGCCAGCAGTGTTTGTTGCCTGTTGTTATCCGGAAATTGCCTAGAAATCGAAGAAGTAAGGAGCAGGCATCTTGTCCTCGATAACTATATTCAAAACACAAAACTTCCATTTGTTGCCTCTATTAACGAAAGGATCCTTATTCATTTGTTATTTTAGGCCTTCAAAATCTTGAAACAAAACTGTGTTGTGAATAACCTTGACGAGAATTGTTTCTTAATAAAGGTAAGCAACTTTATATAATAGAAAATGATTAATGCTATTGAATTGTTTCATTTGTTGGCAGGTCAGATTACCTTTAGTTTATCAATGTTCAAATAATTTTCATCGTTACGTTACGATAGGAAAATGACCAGATTAAAAAATTCTTTTGCTAACATTGACAGAATTAACTTAGATGGTGTTTTCTGTACTTTCTAATTTCGTGGTATTTATCGAGTAGATAGATTGTTTTATTCTTCTCTTTATTTCCTCAAGTTTTTTTTTTTTTTTTTTTTTAAATATTATAACTCATTTATGTGCATATGAATTGTTAAGTTTTGTTTTCTAGGATTTAGACTGGAATGGTTCAGACCTTAATCAGGTTATGGATGATGTTCTTGTGTTGCATTACATTTTAGCAGCAGATGTTTTCTACGATATTACAGTGTTTGAACCGTTTCTGCATACTGTTGCATTATTATTACAGCTGTATCCCAAAGCGGCATGCATATTTGCTTATGAAGAGAGGAAGTATCGTTATTACATTTTTCTTTCTTAATTTAGCTTTTAATTTATGCCTTCTTGTGATAGCTCTTTTTTTGTAATATTCTTTCTTTATTTTTCAATAAATTCTTGCAACGCACCTTTTTTCTTTTTTTTTTTTCACCTTCTTAAAATTATTTCTTTGTTTTACAATGTGAACTTCACTGAAAGAATAGATTTATCATTCATTCTATTTAATGAAATCCATTAAAAAATTGCTCATTTGAGATCAACACTTGATAATATCATCAGGGTTGCGAGTATGACTGAAGTTCGTTGCTGCACTGTCATTGGAGCAAATCATTGATTATTTCCAATTTTTACTGTCCAGCTGTAATCTATCTTTTGGGTTAAAATCTTTTCATTCAGTTTAGGTATAACTGATCTTTCTTTCTGTTATCATAAGACCAAGGTGCACACTTTCATCAACTCTATTTCATGTAGTCACCATGACCTTTCCATCTTATTCTGTTCAGTTGCAAAACATTTAGAAAGATTTTGCTGTCAGCGAGCTTTCAAGTTAAAGTCTAACCTGTTTAGTTTGATGTAATTTATACCGACAAGAAAGTAAAGCTAATAGCCTTCAAATATAAATTTTCATTTTTCTTATTAAGCTTTCGTTGTTAATTCCTATAATGAATTTCCTTTAAATTTGTAATATTATTTAACTGATTTATTGAGCATTACGTCCTATTCATCCGTTTTTTTTTCTTTATTCCGAATACTATTTCATAGCAAAAGCTTTAGTATTGAAAGATCTCCCTTCACCTTTTTATCTGTTAGATTTCTGAATAGGAGAAAATAATGGATAATCATCCATCTTCAGTGGAAATCAAGAACAAAAATATCAGTCAAAGCATGAAGAATGAAGTAGTTATTAATCGTTCGATGCTTCTATTCTTCTTTCATCCATGAAACATCTAATCTCACTTCAGTTCACCTTGAGAGATGCTTTTCTTCATTAGTAACAACCATCCTTTCAGATTTCTTAATGGCCTGCAACCTTCGTAAATTCTTCAATAGAAGCTTCTCTGTCAGTTACATTTGCTTGATGTAGATGCACTTATAGTGTAAAGCAGTGAAGTGCAGAAAGTTTTCTTTGAGAGGAGAATGGGTTCAAATTCATGAGTTATTATGTGCAGTTACAATCTTAGTTGCCACTTAGTTTTCCTTTGAAATTTCTCATTTTAATCATGGAGGATGTTCCATAAAGCGTAATAATATATTTCCATTGATCCTTATTGACGGACAAACTGAACCGGTTTGAAATGTCCGTTCTGGAACTCATTTTTTTTTCTAATCGTATTTTTCAAATATTTATAATAATGGATGATGTGCTCATTAGGTTTTATGAAGTGAAAAAGGCTGTTGTATGTTTGGGAGTGTTTATCTTTTTCCACTTATTTATTTGCTTGATAGTTGATTAGACTTTTTTTGATAAATTCTAACAGATTAATAGGTTAGCAAATATAGCTACATAAATTTGAAAAGCTAATGATGATGGGCTAAATCATTTTCTGATGAAGCTAAATCATTTTCTAATGATGAATAAACTTCGGCAGTGTTATAAGATATGGCACCGTAAAGCTGATGCTTCTGTTTTCTTACAATTTTCAAGTATAATTTTTTTCAGCAGCAATTGGTCGATCGAGGATTTGCTTCTACTGAACAAGTTATGTTGTAGACGTGTGCGCGTTGTTCACACCGATCTTCATACAATTCACATTGGGATCATTTTCAATAAAACAGGTAAATTAGTAAAATAGTGAATTGATAGCTGAACTCTTGTGCTGTATATTGTGTTGGTCTCTCTCATAACAATATATTATGTTTGTCCGTAAAGATATCGACCAAGTTACTAGATTGCAAATGTTTTGTGGTTTTGTTGTCTTTTTGTTTTATTTTGTTATATGCTGGGTTCAGACTCAGTGAGTGTAACACCGCGGACTTCTTTACATTTTTGTAGTGTTTACATAATTTCGCTGTAGTTCCGGTTTTTCGATGAACACATATATCACGTGTATTTTTTCGAATGCCTAATTCAAATTTTATGAGAAGTACCACTGATGACAATACTTGCATTGCTTTTTCTTCATTGATTTTATTTCCCGTGTGATGAGCAGTTGACGGATTGTTTTGCTTATAGTGTCGATGTTTATTTTCTTAGTTTATGGAATTAATTGCATTATCTTACAAACATACGGATTTCTTAAATTGTAGTGATGTTTTACATGTTGATTTAGAGATGTTATCAAGACTCTCTTTATTATATTACCATTGCTTTATTTTCTGTTTCGGAAGTACATGTACCTTATGGTAGCACACTACAAAATTTCAGTGTGCAATGTTACAATGTCCATGTATACATGTATTTGTTTTCCTGCAATGTGTTTTCATTTGCTTTGAATCGATTTTTCCCTCTCGCAACCTTCGTTAATCTATGTTTTTCTGTAGATCCATTCCTGTACGTCAATTGCGAGTGTCTACTAAATGTGTTCAATTTGGTTGAATAATGCTGCTTGTGCATGTTTATTTTATGAGCTTATTTTTTTTTATGCTTAGTAGTTTTAAATGAGTAGAACTATCAAAAGGATTTCCAGTTTTATTTAAAATAGTGAAAGCTTTTCTGCCTTTCCAGTTCTATTCCTTGCTTGAGTCCTTAATAAGATGAAAGTCCAAATTCGGCATTCGTTGACATTTTCTTGGTAATGTTATTCTATATCAAGTTTTTTCTTCTTTAGGTTCTGTTATTACTTTTATTGGGTTTATATTGTTTAATTATTTAATGATTGACTCTGTTTTTTTTTCTCGTTTTTTAGGTGTTTCTTTTTATAATGGACATAGTCCTTCTTATATTTCTAATGTCCCTCTTTTATCTGATTCTTTTTTAGAAGAGATTTTAGGTTTTGGTTTATGTTGAAAGGTTTTTGGTAAGAATTCACGTGAGGAGTTCTTATGAGCGAATCATTTTTGATATTTTGTCCAGCTCCTTATTGTAAATAATAAGCGTACCAGATGGTGTCTATTAATAATGGGAAGCTGAAATTATCTTGCATAGTAGATATAACAACAGAATCTAAAGCATGATCTGACACTTTTTTTTTTTTTTTTTTTTTGTTCTTGTGACATTGCCGAATGAAAGTATGAATGAAAAATCATGATTCGTACACGAAAGGCTTCTAATTTTCTGATTTAGAGTTTATTGAAAGATGATGAATACAAAACTAATAAGGGATAAAATTTTGAATATTTTTATAATTTGTAATTATAAAAATATAAGGCGAGTGATGCTGTAGAAGTTTTTCTTTTTTTTTTAGTGTTTGATAGTAATTATTGCAGATTTTATGGAAGCGTCGAGAATATTTGCTGGAATCGAAGGGTATTCTTTTAAATTACTAGTTTGTTTCTAGATGGGTTGAACATGTTATTCAACCTATTTGTCGTTTAAGTTCCAACAATCCTTCACATTGTTTATAATTTGTAATTACATTGTTGGTTTTTGATACAGCTATAGATTCCAGTGGTGCAACGCAGTCTCGACTTCTTTTTATTGATGAAGCTGGCAAGCGATATGGCGAGTGGAGTCGGACTGGCCTGAATTGCTGTCTTGATGGATTCGATGTGGTTGCGGACAGAATAGCAAAATGGATTCAAATGGCTAAAAAAGAAGTTGGGATCGTTGGTCCTCTTGCAGCTGTGGTAATGAATTTTTTAAACTTCGTTTCGCGGTGTGATTGATTTTCAGAATAAAAGCTAGCTTAATTAGAACTTGAAGTTTGTTCCGTATTCGTTTGAGGTGATGAAAAGGTCTGCACATTTTGGTCATTGTAGGTTTCAGTCTTCAACCATATTAAGGGAATGGGCCTCTCGGGAGCTGAAGATGAAAAAAGCAACCAAAGACTGATTAACTTTTTGAAAGATCAACATGGGGATATTGCAGTCGACTTTTCGCTGTCCTCTGATGCTGTTGTTGCAGCTGCTGCTTCATTCCAGAACGGTGAGAATATGCTGTGTTAAACTGATTTTAAAATTTAAAATTTTAAATATCATTTTGATCTACCCTAGGACGGAGTAGAATATATGTATAGGTGGTGCGGTAATCGTAGCAGGGACCGGTTCAGCTTGTCGATTATTAAAGGCTGACAGTAGCGTGTATGGTGTTGGCGGTTGGGGACATCAAATTGGTGATGGTGGTAGCGCATTTTGGATCGCAAGGAGGTATTGTGCTGATTGCATATTCCTTGTATTGTTAAAAACTGTCTTTGTATTGAGGTGGTTTTTGTATCTTTGCATTTTTCGATTTGCTGTTTTCTTATGAAACTTGAATATTACTTCAAATTTTGTTAACTATATAGAAGAAAGATTAAAGATTAATTCAATGTATATTTGACGAGGAAGATGGACTTCATCCGTCACCTCATTCGATTTCAAAAACAAAACGATTGTTTCTCGAATTTTTTGATTTGTCTGACAAAGCCGGTATTTTGGACATTTTATATACTAATTTCGATAAATCCAGGATTGCATCTTTCGCCGCTCACGTTGCTAAAGGTTTTTATTCTTTTCGGGTCTGTTTTGAGACATTTTTATCTCTGATGTGGCAGTTATCTGTTTCCAGAACTCAATTTTATGGAAGTCAGATTCATCTTCTTTCAGAAGCAAATGATGATCCTCTTGTTCGGCTAGTTTTTCGCGATGCTGGTGAGCAACTTGGCTTACACGTACGAGCAATTTCAAGAAATTTCGATGAGGTTGGACTTTATTCTTGTCTCAGTTCAAGCGTTAGTCTCATCCAGGATTCATTAGACGATTCACTAGCTGATCTCCCTGTTCAGTGATCTTGTGTATTATAGGAAATGCTTCACAATGCTCCGCTTCTACTGATTGGTTCTGTATGGCGAAGTTGGGAATTGTTAAAGGATGGTAAGATTGCTATTTGACTGATAAAGTGATTGATTTATTATATTCTAAGGAGATTTTTCAAGTAGAAGTGATTTCAGTTTGAACTTTTTTCCTGATTCATATTGTGTTTTTGTAGGTTTTGTACACGGACTCAAAAGTAATGGCAGTCGAATTGGAAAGGTAACACTCTACACTCTTCTGGAAACACCTGCTTTAGGAGCTGCTCTATTAGCAGCCAGAAAAATTGGTAAAAAAGTAGCGTGCGAGCAGAGAACTACTGTACTTGAGGTCCTCATCTTGTGATATTTCAGTGACATACTTGCTGTCTTATAATCATATACCTCTCTTATAATCACAATGCATGAATCACAATGCTCCATAGTTATTATGTGCTGCTATCATTACAGTTTCTGGAAGCTATGAGACATCTCAAAAACTATTAAATATCTCCTAGCAGATCTGTGACTTGTACTTTATCTGCCATTTTGTTCCTCTGTGATGACCATTTACAAAAAAAATTAGATTTGAATCCAAATCTCAAATAAAATTCATCGATATCTGCATGACTTAAAATGCTTCTAACAACTCTGTGGTATTTTTCATATTACCCATCTTCATCTATTTGCATGAAAAAAGTTATATGTATTTCAGGATTTGTTGAGCTGCTTTTTTTACATAAATTATTTGTTATATTCTTTTTCTTATAGCAATTATTGACTACGTTTTGATGTGTTAACCCAGTCAGGTTATATAGATGTTACACTTGTATTCGATTTTTTTTTCTTTGCTTTTGTAAATATGTGGAATAAAAAAAAAAATATCATTACATACCCTAAATTAAGATTTCACTATTATTTCATCGTTTCTCAACATCATTAGAATGTATTGTTAATAATAATGAAATGTTCTGCGCAAATATCGAAATTCATCATGATTGAATGATTCATTTTTTTCTCTCACATTTATCATGAGGTATTCAATAAGTTGTATCTACAAAAAATGATATCGGTAACAATTTTAAGCGTAAACATCTAATGCAGTGAGGTGTTTTTAATTCTTCCTTCAGCAAAATTTAATTCTTTTTCATGAAATGTCGGACAATGATGATGCCATACCAGGACAGCGTTGGATTATGTGTAACGTCTGTTGCCGTTCAGCGTCGATCTCGTCTCCAAACATTGCATTCTTTTTAACAAAATGTGGCCACATATTCTGCAACAAATGTTTAATTGGTATTGCATCTTCCCAAGGTTAGTCGTTGTTGTGATGTTCGTTTAACCAGTGAATAAATGCTATTGCTATGGTTCTTTTCTGTAGGCGACAAAAATATTATAGATAAGGCTTCCATGCTTCTACATGTGAATATCCTGGAGTGAAATGGTCACTTTCCTTGTAGTCAACATTTCGATCCACTCATTTAGTAAGTGTTGCAGATGTGGCTCATGTATGTCTCTACTGCAAGAAGAAGATTACAATTTGCAAGATCAGCCGTGATATGCCTGAAACGGTTCGTTTTTTAGTTGCAGCACGAGATTCCATAAGTGACTGTTAATCGTCCTTTTACTTCTTATTCTGGACAATTTTTTTTTTCAGGTTCGAAGTTACTTCCGATGTCCTAGAGAATTATTAACTGATTCAATGGTTGAAGTTATGCAAGTAATCAAATTTCAAACAATGCATGCTGCATATTTGATGAAACGCTTTAATATAATGGTTAGCTCGTGATGTTTTTTCATTCTTTCTGGTCATTTATCAGCCGAATTCATTTGTTTTGAATAACTATCAAAATTTAATGAAAGAGTGTGATAGATTAATGATTACTGAAATAGATAGTTCATGTGTTATTTCGTGAAATTTTTCTAAATGTTTTTTTTTTTTTTTTTTATTGGCTGCCTATTAATTTTTTAATTGTTTCATGCTTTTCTATGTATTCTATTTTGAAGAATCAGTATATTATTTTTTCGAATTCTAGAGAACTAATTATGAAAAACTTCGTCGATTTTGTTGTGAAGTTCTACACAAGAAAACAATTTTGGAAAGGTATGATATGCTTCTGGGAATTTATGTTCAGCGAAAAAGCTAGAAGTGCCTTCATTCTTCTTCTGTGCTTCTGAGTGCAAAAATTTGCAGAGAGTTGGTGAATAAAGTTGGACTTCCACAGCATAATAACATATCAGTTAAGTAAGTCATTGCTTATTTATCATCCTGTAAAATTCGAGTTGAAGTTTTTTCACAAGATTGGGTGCAGAATAATGTACCGTCCTGCAAAGTTCAAGTAATCTAACAGAGTACCACCATGATTCATAATTCGAGAGCCAAAAACTTAATAAGTTATATCAATAAAGGGTTATCTGAAGAAAGAATTCGAGTCAGAAGAAAACCTACAAAATCTATGATTAGTCACATCCAGTATGAAGTCAGTATTTAAAATGGAAGCACAGTGCTGGTAATTTAATTCCGTGACGGTATATAGTTGCTTATTGTGAATGCAAAAAATTCTTTTTAGTGGCATGAACACTCCTCTATTGCAATTAAATACGTCGGCCGAGAAGTTGCGTTCAATGCATAATATGGAAGCGTCGAAAACATCAATCATCTCGGGTTTATATATTAATATATCCTTTTTCTTTAAAGAAGAGATTCTTAGAAAAAAAGCCATAAAATTTATGCTTATTCACATCTGTAAAATTCATCGCTGTGATACAATTTATAATGAAACAGCATAATTTTACTTTTATTTAACATTCCTAATTTTACTGTATTATTTATCTAACATAAGTTCCCTCATTGTGAAAAACTCTGAACATGTGATGAATATCCATGATGAAATTTCATTTTTAACAATTATCTTCAGAAAGCATATCGAAATCGGGTACAGAGTCATCAATTATTGAAAATTCAACCTGCTCACTTAATTTCACTGGTAAAATTTCTGGATGTTTCTTTTATCATTCCTATATATAGCTGTAATTTTCCAAAAATTACTGGTTCCCTTAATGAAGTGTGATTTGCAAAAATGATGTATTGAAAAATTGATATGTTGAGGTTGTTGATATGGCGAAAATATCAGTAAAGAATTCAGTGACTCTTCGGATATCGTGAAACCGTTACCTTGATGAGTGGTCAGTATTATTTTCAAAAGGTGTTTACTAAATTATGTTATACTTTCTGCGACAGCAAATGTTTACTGGAAAAGAAATAGAAAAAAAATGAGGTTTCTACTATTGAGTCATATGAAAAATTACAGAATGATGTGACAATCAAGTTAGAGAAAGGTATTAAAAAATTAAAATTCCCATCAATTGCGCTTTTTGCAAGGTCGTTGACACAGAAGAATGCTTAAATAAAACAAAAGCTCTTCGTTACATTTTAATTAGTACCTAAGCCCGCCAAAGATAGATTAAACTGAACTACCTGTCCTGCTAGTTGGGAGAAATTTTGATTCGGAAACGAGAATGATATCATGGACTCGAGACATTCCTGCTGATTTCCTTGCGGTAGTACATGTTGCACCCTTACTTTGATTTTTCGAAACCAATGTTTTATTCCAGGGAAATATCTGATTCACGAGAAATATTTAACGAATGTCGCTGTTCCCAAGAAGAGAAGTAACTTTTACTACTGAGAGTGCATTTTATTTTTTTATTTTTATTTTATTTTATTACTCACTGTGCGATCTCCATTGTATGGTTTGATAAATATTCTTTATGCGTTATATATTTATTGACAAATTTCGTTAAGGTCTTTTGCCTTGATTTTCAAATTCCTGTCTATTACGTAAAGTTGTGATGTCACAGTTCATATTTTGCTACTAAAAGTGAACCCCTATAAGGATAAGGAAGAGAGGCAGGCGTTTCTGATTTTTCATGGAAATGCATAATAACACAGTTAAAAATTACTGCATGTTGATTTTATTTTTTTTGTATGGATTTGTCGAAGGATTTCAATTGAGATGCAAGCGGATGAGGATAATGGTAGTAACAGTAAGTATATCATTTGCGATGTGGCTTTATCAAAAATCGTATCATTTGAAAACGTCAAGCGGTCATTAGTCAACCGTACAGCAGGAACACTGCTACGACCGGTTAGTTGCACTGTTTAGATAGGATTTTGTGATTGACTATGTAGAATCATGAGAATTTGAATGCAAATAATTAGTAGATTGTTATTGATGGACCGTTGATTGGCGTCAGCTACGATCAAAAGTACGCAATGAACGATGATATGTATTTTGAGAACTACGTTGGACAGATGAAAGCAACCGGAAAGATACGTACAGGATTCAAGATTATGAAACCATACCCGGTGCAAGCTCTGGTGAAGATTTTGTTTTATTTTATTGCCCGTGGACATAAGACGACTGCTTTTTTACCGGTCTTTTTTGACGAACGGTTAGATGAATCGTGTTGCAATCGATGTGCGTTGGTTAGTAATGTGGAGCAGTTCCGTGAGCTTGTGCTCTTGAAACTGATTAAATTCCTACCACATAAAGATTTTGCAAATGAAATAAAGCATTGTGCTGCCGACTGTCATGGAATTTTGGTTACTAACCCGGAGGCATTCTATTTTAACAATTTTAATTTGCATCGAAATGATCACTCGGAACAGAGCATCACATCTGCCAATGCAACAAACACTTCATGTAATTTGATGTGTAGCACCGCGATATCCGAAATATTGTCCGATAAGAACAAAGTGCCAGTAATTATACCTCTTTTCCGACCTTACAACCACCGACTGATCATCTCCTTAGATGTTACTTGGAAGAAGGTATTGCAAATTGAAAAGCGAGAAGTCAGTGCTTCTGATTACAGATTGTTAGTTGATGAACAATTGATGCTTCAGACGCAGTTTAGATTGTTGAGCAAGTTAGTCTCCATGATGGATGATCAATTTCCGTGTGGTCCATCTGATGCTGACATTGTTCCACTTTTTCAATATACACTAGGATTTACTGATGAAGCAATATCTTCAGCGAGTTTATTTAAAGATTGTGGTGATGGAGAACAATTTCGGGAGGAAATACCGGCAAAATTGTTGGAAGCTGGCTCGATGTACTCAGGGCCTCCTTAATCAAAATTTCAACTGATCAGGACTAAATTTGGATTTGTGAAGTATTCACTGTAAACAAACTTTATAATTTTAAAGATATTTACCTCGATGAGTGAATGGATTTGAAAGCTGACCGTGCGCGACTACAGGCGGGACGCAGCTAACGAATATTTGAAGGAACTGATCATTTGTCATCTTATGCTCTTTTATCTTCGTCAAAATGATCTTTTTCTACCTAGCATCATTCCCGC